TAAAGATAAAATATAAGTCTTTTCTAAATCTTATACACTAAAATCAATTTAATTATAAACGATTATCGATAGCATGATTCGTTGAAATAGATGCAACAAATTACATGCACCATTTCAGGATTTAGGTTTACGATTTAGATAAGTAAGACTTACCGTTCATTTATTAAGGAGTAGAGTTTAGTTTCATGCCCCAAAATTATTTAATTCGATGTCTCGATACCGTTTTCTTATTAGGGGTATGAAGTTCCCCCCTAAATTTGCAATGGATACGATAGAAGTTACCATATATATATATACCGTAGAACTCCCCATATATATATGGTGCCTTCTACGGTACTCCGGGTGAAATCCGGGGTACCGCATACCTTGAGTATAAAAACGTTATCTAGACCTCGAATTAGCAGGATTTTTGGGCATGATACTATACCCTAGCCCTTAATGAGTGAACCCTAGGTCCTAATTATCTAAATCATAAAGTATAAACCCTAAGATGATGCATTGATTTTTTTGCCTATATTTGGACGAATCATAAACGTTGATTATTGTTTCTAATTAAATTGATCTTGGGGTATAAGATTTAGAGAATTAAGACCTAGATGTTGATCTTTAAGGGTTAGAGTATCGTATCATGTCCGAAAGATTAGTCAATTCAAGTTCTGGATAGCGTTTTCTTACTTAGGGTATGCGGTACCCTGGATTTCACCCTGGGTACCGTAGAACTCCCCATATATGGTTCAGGCTAGCGTACGCTCGGGCGCACGCTAACCTAGCATACGCCCCATTGAGTTTTGCTATATAGATCATGAATTAATCGGAGTTTGGGGCATGATACTATACCCTAACCTCTAATGGGTGAACCCCAGTCCCTAATTTTCTAACCCAAACCATGAGGTTCGTTTAATCTTAAAATGAAAACCAATGAAAATTTCGAAGAATCAGAATCGTTGATTTTCATTTTTAAGATTAAACGAATCTCATGCTTTGGATTAGTGAATTGGGGACTGGGATTCACCCATTAGGGGTTAGGGTATAGTATCATGTCCCAAACTCCGATTAATTCTTTGTCTAAATAGCAAAACTCAATGGGGGCGTACGGTAGGCTAGCATACGCCCGGACGTACGCTAGCCTTTGCCATACACTCTAAGGCGGACCCAAGTGGAGAGTATGGGTGTCCCGAGACACTCCTAAAATTTGGGGGGGAAATAATGAACTTTTAGTAATAGTTTGAGTATGGAAAAAAAGGAAAAGAAATTAATGGTAGTATACGGGATTCGAAGTTCTAACATAATAGTTATTAATGAACATCTTTTTTATTTTATTACGCTTTATTTGATTTTGTAATATGGTCATAAATATAATTATAAAAGAGTAGTTCTTATCCCAATTTTTCCAAAGGCTAAAATCAAACCCACGAACTATCCCTTATTCCCACGTTATTCTAACACAATATTTTATCCCGAAAAGTTTGATCCACTATGATTTTTTTTCTCCATATACTTCATATATTAAAAAATGATTTTTTTATAGTTTATCAGCCCAACATTTAACTGTCTTTTCTGAAAACTATTATTGGAAACCCCTTTTGTAAAAAACAACACCACCACCAAACTATTTGGTTACTAATCTTTGTCTGTTCCTCGAATACCCGAGTCTGCTGAAGATGATTGCTTACTTGCCTGTCAATTGAGTCGACAAAAAAATGGGGATGTTTACATGTGCAGTGAAGGCAACTTATACCCACTTCTTTTGGCTATTTTCTGTTTGTTCAAAGGATTGTTGTTCATGTCTCTCTTTTGGTTAGAGCTGCAAGCTATTGGCAATTGGCGACTTGGTATAAATTAAAGCCGTGAGATTAGTAATAGTATCATTAATAAAAGCCATTAAAGGAATAAGTTCAATGAGGTTTGGTATTTGTACCTAACCCCTCACTATAGTTATATTAAGGTTTAATTGGAATTGGGAATTGATGAATCCTTTCTTTACCAACCAATCAAGCCAACATTCTATTCCTTTCTTTATGAGTGTCTCTCTATATTGTATGTTGGCAAAGCTGAAGGAGGAAAGGTGCTCTGAACATATACAACCTAACAAGTTACAGATGGCTAACTGAAGAAAGAAAGGGATTTAATAAAACATTGATCTGATCTTGTATTTCCTATCTAATTCATGTTTCAGGGTTCTTTTTCTTCTGGTTTTCAGCACAAGGAATGCAGTGCATTTGGTGGTTAATTCATAATTAATGTTTGATTCTGTTCAGAAGTTAGAACTAATGCTAAATGTGGCGGAAAAGAAAACCAAAGGAAAAGGATACAAAATTATTGAGTAGGTGAAGAGAAATTGAAATAATACCGTAACAAGAGGAATTTTAGAATATTTATAACTACAGTTGATTTTGGGCACAAGTTGAATTTGTATTATAATATTGAATGTATATGTTCCGTTTGTATTACTAAGAAATTTGTGAAAAAAATATTAATATAAATTTAATTTGCACCTAATGTTAAAGTGCATATTCTGTTGGTATCATACAAAAAAATGTACGTGTAAATACAAAATAAATTGGTAATTTTTTTTTAAACAAAAATACCAGTACTTGTTAGTAGGGCTGGGCATGCGGGTGGATCATCCGCTGGTTTGGACCGACCCACCCGCATTTGACCCGAATTTCGTTAAGTGGGTGGGTCTGTGGGTGGGTGACGGGTTGCGCTGGGAGCCATCCGTCGGGTGGTGGGTGGGTTGTGGGTGAGTGTGCGGGTGACCCGCTCAACCCAACAGCAAAAAGATCAAAGTCGTTGGCGCTAGAGAGAGGAGAGTGGAGACGTTAGATTTAAACTCGAACTGCTCCTGGAGTTTGAACCTCAAAGCCAACCTTCCAAATAGAGATCCCCTCTTCTTCCCTTTACTTTTTCCTCTAATTCTTGTGTCTAGATCACCGCTCTTTCCTTTGTGGAATTATTTTCCTTAGTTCCTTGCACCTAATAATCGTCTCAATCTGTAGAAAACTCTTTCATAATAGAATTTCTATCCAATTTAAGAACTAATTCAACATTTTTCGCCCTATTTCAACTTCTTGTTTCCTCGATGATTCTCTTCACCTATTATCATGTCAAGTTGACTCCTTTATATTATATACATTGTGATGTGGGTGAACCCACAAACCCACCCGCATCATCCACCATCCGCCCGACCCAACCCGAGACTAAATGTGGGTGGGTGGTGGGTTACAAATTATCAATCCGTTTAATTGCGGGTGGGTGCATTTTATGGTCAAAATCCACCCGACTCACCCAATGTCCACCCCTACTTGTTAGCATAGTAGCCTTCTGAAACTATTCATTTAACCGTTTTATATGCTCGACCATGAAACTTAATTGGGATGAGTTTAGTTTCTAACCACACTAATAGCCTTTAGATCAAAATATTAATCCTAGCTAGGGTTAAAATTAATCAGAAGATAATTTAGTAAATTTTCATGAAACCCTAATATAAAAACTTTCCAACCTAACCTTAGGGGTCGTTTGCTTGTTGGATTTGAAAAATGAGGGTTTTTGCTAAAAAAAACCTTTGGATTTATGAGGGATTTGTACCATCATGGATTTGAAGAGTCTATTGTTTGCATCATAGATTTGATGATATAATTATGATGGATTTGCTATAAATATAACTAGCCATTAAAGATTTACAAATCCCACCCCAATATGTGGGATTTACAAGTCCGTGGGGTCCACGGATTTGGATCCAAAAAAAGGAACAAATCCGTGGACCCCACGGATTTAACACCTAACAACAAACAATGGACTTGGCTAAAATCCATCATATTTGGGATTTGAGTCCCAAATCCATGACCCAAATCCATCAAGCAAACGACCCCTTACACTAGCGATATAATTATTACTTGTCTTTAATTGATTGCCGCAACCCGCAAGTAAGATTTGAATTCATGGATGAAGAATTTTAGGACTTTGCTATGGTGACACTACAAAAAAGAGGAGATTTGGGGACCAATATTAGGGGACGAGTACTATATATTGTCTTCAAAAATAAAATTTTAAGTGTTATTAGGGACAACACATATACATTGTCCTCATAAAATAAGGGGCAATGTCTATTTTTTAACCAAACCTTTTTCAGATTCTTTTATTTTAACCAAACCTATTGAATTCCTAAAAATTATCCAAACGTTAACTCTCCGTCAACTTTTTTGTTAGTAATGCTGACTAAGTATGACCATAATGAGTTGACTTCCTACGTGGTGGCCAGAATACCATCATTATTATTTTAATAAAAAGATTATCAAAAAACAAAACAAAATCCCACCTCTCACGTGGACGAAATAAGTAACGGTAACAGAATGAATGCCCGGACTTTGATAAATTATAATACGTTTGGATAATAAATAGAATTTCTATAGGTTTGGTTAAAATAAAAGAATCTGAAAAAGGTTTGGGTAAAAAATAGACATTGCCCTAAAATAAGATATGAAAAGTTCATTAGTTTTAGTATTTGCATAACTGTCCCCAAAAATGAATTTCGGGAAAAGGCGTAGAACTCGGGTGGGATTTGGGGAATATTGCCGGCGGATTCCTTTTAGCAAAACTTTCTCCATTTAGTTAATTAGTTGAATATGTTTATACTTTTACTTAACCATTATTACTTTTATATATTAACTTTCTTAGTTATCATCTTCAATCACGGACTCTTATTTCTTTCCCCTCTTTTCCTTAGGGTTTTCCACCCGCCTCTGCATTCTTGTCTTCGTTCTCACGCCGTCTAGATTGAGAATTCCACAGAGATGCGTTGCCACTTGTGTCAAAGTTCACCCAGTCCATCAACCAGCTTCTGGCGAAGAGGAGGCGTAAGAGTGATGGTACAAAGTGCAACGCTCTCTTATATGATCTAAAGGGGAGGCCAATCGATTGCAGGGGAAGCCGCATTTCTCCATTCTTGCTTATCAGCTAGATATCTTCATACTAGATCCGATAAGTTGTACTCTGCACCGACTCCCCGATTTTCCACCATGTAAGTCAGCAGCTTCAAAATTAGTGTCAATATTTCTTGAATACTTAGGTGACTGTTCCTTTTCTTTTTGTTTTTTATGGACTAGCTAAGTATTTCCTCATTAAGATGAATGGTTTGCTTTGTTTTGCTACCATTACAGACGAGATCAAGTCCAAACCAAAACCGAGGAGATCAAGAATCCTTGAAGGCATTTTCGGATTGATTCTTTTTTTTATTTCATGGACCAATAATATTGTACGGTAGTATTGTTCTGTATTAATAGTTAATAATTACTTATTTGTAGTATGTATATTTCCTATGTATTTTTATTTTTATTTTCACAAGAATGTTGGCTAATTGCCGATGTACTTTATATAATCAATTCCATTTTCATATAGATATTCAAGTTCTTTTGTCCATATGTCATTTTATTTGGGACAATTCCTCATCTCCGAAGACACGAGTTAATTGACTACCATTTTACGACTGCCATTTGAGGATATGAGACGACATGTCAATCCTATACAGGAAAAACGGGACATCAAATTATTCCCATATAGAAATGACATTTTTTTCGAAATGGATTACAAGGGACACCATTTTGTCCCTAGAGATAATATTTAGGGGACGACTTATTATCACTAAAGACGTTTATGGGGACGACATGTTGTCTTATATTGAAACGAAACAAGATGACAACTCGTGAGTATTAGGGACGACTGTCGTCCCCAATATTGGGGACGACCTAAATTATTTTCGTCCCCAAAAGAATAGAGGACAAGTGTATAGGGGACAAAAAATTAGGGACGACTTAGTCATCCCCAATATCTATGGGGACGATTTTACCTATTTCCGGGGACGACTTTTGACATGCATGTTACGGTGACATGCACTTTTCGGTCGACCTCATATAGGATCAGGTCGACCTAATCTGTTGTTTCAGTGTAAAAACAGTTTCATGGTGCCTACTTTGGAGATTCATATCTTACAATTGGCTAGATGGAAATTGGTGATTAAAGGCTTGTTTTGAAGCTGAAGTGCCCCTCTACACATTAAAGTACTCGGGAGCTCAATAGAAAGTCCATAAGACCATTTTTGAACATGACCAAAAGGCTATGCCAAAACTGGAAAACTGTCTGAAAATGGCTAAGTCTAGCAACGTGTTTGTCAAGCCTACTTTGGAGCTTAATTTGAGAAGCATGGATGCGATTCAAGTCCAGGGGCCTCTACCACGTTAAATTACGTATTTTTTTTATACAAAGGCAAGGCATTGGATGAAAGATTGAATATCTTTAAGGCTTCAAACAAAAGGCTCGAAGTTGCTACGAAGGCTGTTTTTCTGGCAGCTTGCTTGTGCTCGAAGTCTGCCAGAAAAACAGCCTTCGTAGCAACTTCGACCCTTTTGTTTGAAGCCTTACAAATATCCAATCTTTCATCCAATGCCTTGAATTTGTATAAAAACATACCTAATTTAATGTGGTAGAGGCTCCTGGACTTGACTCGCATTCATGCTTCTCGAATTGAGCTCCAAAATAGGCTTCACAAACACGTTTGCAGACTTAGCCATTTCTAGGCAGTTTCCCAGTTTTGGCATAGCCTTTTGATGAGGTTCAAAAATGGTCTTCTGGACTTCCTATCGAGCTCTCAATCACTTCAATATGTAGAGGGACACTCCAGCTGCAAAACAAGTCATTAGTCTTCAATTTCCATCTAGCCAATTGTATGATATGAATATTCAAAGTAGGCACCATGAACTGTTTTTAACTGAAACTACAGATTAGGTCGACCTGATCCTATATGAGGTCGACCGAATCCTAAATGAGGTCGACCAGATCCTATATGAGGTCGACCGAATTCTAAATGAGGTCGACCGGAAAGTGCAAGTCACCGTGACATGCATGTCACCGTAGGCACACCCAGAATTTTATCATTTTTAAATCATTAATAAAAAACGAAGACAAAAATAAACTCGTTCGATGTTTTTCAGTTTGATGAGGTTTTTAGATGAGCTATTTTGATCCAAATAATTCACAATGAGCTATTTTGGCTAAAATAATTCATCTTGCAACACTTTATTAATATGAGCTACTTGAGTCGTCGGTTATTTACAAATAACTTGTACACCATGTGTTATTTGGAAATAGCTTATTTTACACCTATTTTATTATGAATTGTGAATGATTTTACACCTATTTTATGACTAAATATCACATGTCAAACACCACATGTGAATGAGTCAGTCAAACGCAACATTTAACTCAATTACTACTAAAATATCACTTAAACAATCAATAAGTTATTTGACTCTACAAATAGTAAAATGAATTCATGAAATAGAACTATAATATTTCAAGAGGGATGTTTTCGCAACATGCTTATTCAGTTTGGAAATCCTACTCCATGATACATATATTGTTATTATGTGGTAGAAAATACAATTTAATTGTTTTTAAAGAGACAACTGCATACGTTCCATATTTTTTAATGGTTATTCCAGATTATATTGATCTCATGGACACCGGATAAAATTTTATTCCTCCTTCTTGAGGTGCATGTATATTACTTAATAAATTATTTGTAATGGATCAGTAAACCAAACTAGATCGAAAGGGAAGCATGTACGAGTACGATGACGATCAGAATTACTTGGTGATTAAGAATCGCACACCTTTCCACACACAAAAATTAGTGTAGTTGACCGTGGTTTAGTAAGACACACTGAAGAATAAATGAATGCCAATACCTAAACCCTAAAATTCAGTCCCTTTAAGAAAAGGAGAAGAAGAAATTCCATTGGTTGAGTGCACGTAAAGAATGAGACAAATTAATTGGATTTTGATGAAACAAGAAACAAAAAAGAGGGGGGGCAATAAGAAAAGAGTTAATCTTGTTATATGAAGTGAACTTTTCGCATCCCCACAGGCCACATCTACTTTTGTGCGTGAATGTGAGATTTTTGACCAAACCCGATTGATGGGTTTAAAAAGCTGGATCCATATTTATGTTCCCAAAATTAGATTGTGAATAATCTCCATAATCTGAAGTGTTCGAGCGGTATGCATTGAACCGTTTGTACGTGTTACGAACTTAATTATTTACTAGTCATTGCTTGTAACGAAGTTAGAAATGTAAGTGAGCGGCGAAGCAAAATAATAAAGCTCAAACTTAACGTGGAAGTCAGCAAAGGAGAACAACTAAAGAAGAAAGGACCAACAACGTGCTCAAACAGAAAACCTTAAACACAATAGATCGATTCTTAACATATTAGGCAAATCTCATATCGACGAATTACGGGTGATTGAGATTCATACTTCATAAGTGAGAAATCGACATTAACTAACAATACACATTTTGGGAGTGAAATGAATGAGTTTTTGTAAAAACTCCGAATTAAAAGTGCTCATAGTGGAGCAATGCAATGGCCAGGGACCTCTCATGAGTCGTGAAATCACCTTGATATGCACTTCAAGACAAACACCATATGGTCTAGAAACAAAACGGTCAATATCTTGATCGGGAAGAAGGTTATGAACGTTACAAATTCAAAGCCAATATAAGAAAATAAAAATTTTATATAAAGATCCAAGGCAACCTAAGAGAAGAAATTTGAGATAAAAATATGAAGGGATTGAAAATTAAAGATCGAAAGTGTGAAATTCGTGAGTGAGATTTAGTGGTGGAGCCATGATTTGATTTTAAGGTATGATTTTTTGAATGTAAATTAATATTTAATATATAATTCAAATAATAATATTCAAATAAATATTTTATAAAAAATAAATATTGACTAATACAATTATCATTTTCATAAACAACCACAACATGTATTCTAAAATAAACATAATTATTAGAGACTAATTAGGGATTTGATGCAAATGAGAATTTAGTTTATGGTAAGCAAATTTTATTACAATAAAAAACACAGAATGAGCAGTATTTAGTGGGAAAATGTTATTGTGTTAACCCACAGAGATGTTAACCAAGTGATTCATCACAGCTATACCAAAATAATCGATCGGTAACTTAACCAACAAATGACCTCCTCATTTTTCAATTGTGCATTTTTGTTGATTTTTTCCAACATACGTATGTGTTCTTTTTTAAGTTGTCAACATTTAATAAAAAATAATTTTTTATAGATATGAATCCATAATCAACTAAATTCAATACAAGTACACAATAATCATTCTACCGTCAAATTGATTAAAGAATCACACAAAAATAAGAGACCCAACAACAATTACTCAACTCATAAATCCCACCAAATTCCATGGAAGCTAAAATGTTATTGATTGTTCTCAAACTATCGTGTACAAGTCTGACTTTCTATTGTGCTCCTTTTAAAGACCTTTCTTGAAATTATGCTCATTTGAACCTAAGTCACTATTACAACTTACAACTAGATATGCAAGAGACCTTGTAGTTCTTCAAACATCCCATTATAATTTGTCTATGCAAGCGACTTATTGAGCCTATTATTTTTTACCCTAACTATGAGGATGGTCGTAATCGATTAATCGGTTAACCATTTAACTGTCGGTTACTAATCATTTAATCACCAGTTAGTAGTTATCTAAATTTGATTACTGAAAATTGACCATTTACTGCTCGTTATCAATTTCGCCGTTTATCATCAATTCCAATTCGATTACACCACTAGTAGGATAACCGTTTATCCGCCCAACCTCGCTAAATAAGCCTGGTTCCGCCTATGGCCTACGGTGGCATCAAATAGGGGTGGGCAACGGGACGGGACGGGATACCCGTCCCGTTTTAAACGGGTACCCAGTCCCGTTTGGAGATCAAAGTCCATCCCATATCCCAAACTCATATGGGAAATGGGTACCCATTTCCCGTACGGGACGGATAACGGGTACCCATACTACCCATAAATACCCAAAGTTTACACCACTAAAATTTTAACAAAAGTTTAAACTTAACTTGTATTTGCTTAACAATCACAAGACACAAAATACATCCCAATCACAAATACTCGGCTTGCAAATAATACATTCATGAACAATCACAACACGTAGAAATAAATCATTCCAAGCACCAAATTATTAAATAAGAAGTTTCATTCAACACAACCAAATGGGAGGCATGCTACTACTTTTCTTGTGTTGCTGAATGCAGAAAGTGTCCAAATTTTTAGGTTCATGGGAAGCTAAAATCTATAACATATAAAAGAAACTTTCTTCAAGCTGTTGGTGGTGCAGTTCTGCCTTTTCCAGGAGGCTGCTGCTGAATTGAAACTGCAAAGGTGAGGGCCCAAATGGCAAATGGAATTGAAATTGCAAGGGTGAGGGTGAGGGCCGAAATGACCAATGGGTTCTGAATTGGAATGGGCTGAAATGAATTTCTGCCTTTGTATTGAATGGGTATAACGGGTACCCATATT